ATTATTTAACTTATTTAGGACACAACATTGTTAATCAGCTTATGAATGTGAGATAAAAAATCCAGAGTTGTTTGTAACTATGTATTACAAGTTTATGAGAAACTTCACATATCCATTATCAATTTGTGAAAATAAATAGTGTATATGTGGTAAACTCCTCACCGCCAAATTGGGTAACCAATTGGTGTTAAGTTAGTTTTCTATCCTATGGACAAAATAAATAAAAAATAGTGTATGTGTTTGAGTAACTATGAAAAAGGAAAGCTATAATAACTATTACTAGAGAAGTTGATCAAACAGAGGGGAGATCAAGGAGGTTGAGTGGCGGCACGATCCAGATGTTCTCATACGGATCATGTTTTTTCCAGTTGCAGAGATTCATACTCTGTCCATCAAACTTATGATATATGCAAGTCCTCTTGGATCAATGGAACTCAGAGACACACAAACAGTTCCTTATTCCACTCGGCTGATTCTGCTCGACTCTCGATTCAGAGGACCAAGCGCTTGCGTAGATCGTCAAGCCTCCGAGTGTTTTCCTTTTAGTCCATTCCCAGCTTTTATGGTCATATTTAAGCACTGTTGGATTCATGTGGTTGTATGTGTAAATGAGAAAGATTTTACCTTGGTGTTCTGTCATAAAACATCCGTTGCTTCCAGGACGTTTTGGAGGTCGACTGCGAAGAATAGTTTTCCAAAATCCCGAAGATGGGTCGTAGATCAATAAGCAACCGCTATCTGTGAGGCAGTAGAAAACACCATCAGCAAAGACAATCTGCTCGAAAGTGCGGTAGTTTCGCGGTAATCTACTCCTGACAAAAAATGTGTCCCACTCTTTAGCACTAGGACAACATGTCTTGTAGGTGATGTAGTTCGAAGTGACATTAGAGACACTAAACAAGAGACAACTAGTTGATGTAGGAGCACAAGAGAAAGCCATTCGGGATCATATCCCATCGAAAGCGGTAAACGGATTGAAGAAGAGGAGTTGTTGAGTATTGGGATTGTACATGAGTAACCAACCATCTTTAGAGTAACAAACACGAAAACCGGTTAATTCAGGAGACTCAAGATTGTAACTTTTCTGCATTGATGGGTCATAAAGTTCATATGATCCATCTGTTTTGGAGAAGCAGATAAGCCAAAGAGACTTAACCGCTACTCGAACAGAAACACAAGCTTCTTGCAATGTTTTGCAGACAGCAGAAGCACGGATGTTGTCTTTCAATGGAAGAAGTGAAACTATCAGTTGTAATAGATCATTGGGAAGGTCTATGAAAGTTTGGACCTCTCTTTTTACCC